AATTATCACTATTAAATTAGAAGAATTCAATGAAGTCATTTTCAGGATGTTAGTTCTTTTTTTTTTTTTTAAATGCTGAATAGCAGCAACCTTGTCCCCAAGAATGAACATCTTCCCTCCGTCTCGTGTCGCAAGCAATTTTTCCAGTTTTGTCAGCTCCTCTGGCAGAATATTTTTGATGAATGGCTCCTTTTCTGTTTCCTGAAAAACCATTCTTCTGGAAAGTACTGATCGCGAAATTTTCCACAAAAATGAAGGAGTCAGGCACATTAGTAACCCATATTAGTTTGTTGGGGGCACATCATTTTGTTGGAGGCGCATTAGTAACCCATAAAAAGTAAAAACTTCCAACGTACATAGGCCTGGTAGATCATCTTTACATATTTTTGGTGCAAATCGCGAACTCCTTCATAGAACATATCGGCATAGGTCGCATCCAGTTCATTGGAACCATACAAATCTGTAAAAATGTTTTTCCTTGTCAAAACGTTTACTGTTTCCTTTCTTGCTCTATTGAGCCACCCGATTTTTCGCGCAAAATTTTATAAAATCTGCTCAGATTGTTATTTAAAAAAAAAATAGTTATTTTACATACAGCATTGACTGCCCTTTTTTTATGGGTTAAAACCAAGGGTGATAAGGGGAGAGGGGGGAGGGAAGGGGAGGGTCTGATATTAGTGTAAGGAACCCGACAGAAAGTATCTCTGGTGCATATATTAAGGATAGGCGATGTGCACCGAACGGATGCATTTAGTTTAATCTTTAAGAGGCCTGTGAGAGCATCCTAGTAACATCACTAACGCAGAATCCTTAGACTGATTGTCCAAGTGACCTGGTATTTTTGGTACTTTCTTTCTAAATGTAAAGCATGAAAAATGAAAAAAATTTCAGTTAGAAATGTGTTGAAAATATTAAAAAAATATGACAGGCGCGGTTACCAGTTCTCATGAAGGCTAAGGATTGGATATTTTTGTATAGAACAGTGTAAATTGCACAGCAAATTTTTCAAAAACATGAAAATAAACTCCAATTGTGTACCATGTTTGCGGGCAAGGTGTCTGAGGATGGCGCCGGATTGGACGATTTGTTCACCATCGTCGACGAGGCACGGCACTTGTCCGAATTGCTGAAACTCCTTCATTTTTATCTTTCACCTCAGAACCACCTTCAAGTGGTCCAGGTGTAACCTTAAAATTCCTTTTACACTAATCCTTAACAGTTCGACCGACTTCCCTCCGCTCACTAATTTCTAACACTTCCACCATATTCTAAATAATTCCACATTACCTACCTTCTCACTTACTAACTACCTTTGCCTCTTTTTCCTCCATTAATTCTCCCTATATAAACCCATTCTGAAAACCCTCGCTGAATAGCCTGTGCGGTGCTCCGGGTTGTTTTTATTGAAGTGAAGCTTTGTTGGAAAATGAAGTGCTGGTACTCTTCACTGTCATCCGCTGCTGCAGTCAAAGACTACGTAATGGTCTAACACAGGTAGTCTTTTTACGGTAAATTCATAAAAAACAATGCATGATGGCGGCCGCCAAATTATGCATCATTTTGGTGATAAGCTGCTTTGCGATAAGCTGCTACGACATGCAAAAACTGTCTGTACTTCAACAAACTGGCCTTTAGTCTCACCGTCCAAAAATCTGTTGGAATTGTGAACTCGCTTGCTGGAGATGTGACTCATGATTCACTTCATAACTTGTACTTATTTATAGGTAAGATCATGTTGTCAATAAAATTTCAAATTGATTGAAGGTCATCTGTTCTAAATTGATTGAAGGTCATCAGCTTCCGAATTTAGTGTTTACGAATTCTTCATTCTCGGATTATTGCTTTTAGAACAGTGCTAAAGCAGCGCCACAGTAATCTGCATTTGTAAACTATCAGTTAGACGTGCCAGGCGAAGCGAGCAGGAAGTGGGAAGAATATATAAACGCGAAAAGATATGAATATCTGAACAGGAATGTTTCGGTCCATTAAGTCGCATACATCTAAATTTGAATCTGAGATCATAGATTAAGACTAAAATGTGGCTCAGCATCCAGTGGAGTGAACCAACAAAACCTCAAATGCCATAACTGTCCAGTCTAAAATTATGCGTTTCTTTAGCATGAAAGTGGACCTAAGGTTATAACTAGGGTTACAAAGCAATCTAAGAACTGGTTCCTGATTTGTGGCCTTACACACAGTCAACAGCTGTGACCCCTAACGTTCATCTTCCTATCATTACTGGTCCAGGAATTCAAAAATCCACCCGTAGAAGAACCCACATTTGTCATGTTTTTGATTTGTAGAAAAACAGTAAGAATAAGAAAATGCAAAAATTGATGTTTTGTTTAAATTAGTTACAATTTTCTTGGAAAAAAATCAAACTTTAGACTGTTATAATGCTTACAAACTGTGGCTTAAGTGACGGCCAATCGTCCGTGTTGAAACGGTCATCCTCAAATTGAATTCCTTGATCGGCCAGAAGCAGACGGATAGGTTCGCCCAGACCTGGAATTCCAG